CTGTCTTTATATATATATATATATATATATATATATATATATATGTAATGTTCAAAAAAGGAGATCAACGGGCTTCATTAAGGTCATTCAAGTTATATACTCTCGGAAACAAAACAAAATATTTGCTATTACGACAACGGCGTCTTTGCAGAACGTGGAAATTTTTGGATGCCTCCGAGAAAAAAAAATGGATGTGTCAAGCCCCGATATGGATTCTAGTGACAAACATGTACAAGGGGACCGGAGGATAACGATGGAGCAACTCACATGATTCCCGATGTGAAGAGTTCCGGTATCACAGTCCTGACCTCCATCAGGCGCGAAGAAATTGGTACACTCACAGATTACTCCGAAAGGTGATGAGTGTGAATACTGACCGGGCTGAAGGTTAGAATTGATGCTTTGTCCCTCTGGTGTGATCAGAATGTGACCCTCATGACTGTTTTGTGTTGGAAGGAGCAGCCCAACAACGCGTGTTCGGCAAACTGGGATAACTGAAGACGGTCAAAAATAGGAGAGCGATGGCGGTTAAGAATGAGGTTGTTTCTGATGGAATGAAGATGTTCAGTAAGGACAGGACATTGGATTAATCGTCTGCGAAGATGTACTCATAAGCTACAGTTGTCCACTTTGGGGAACCAAAAATGTTCGCCTTTAGGGGAGAGGCAACATAATAACGAGGCTTTTGTACCTGATTGTGCATTGAAACTGGCCGCTAGTGTTTAAGTCTCTAAGTACATTCAAGCTTCAGACGTGGAAGCATACGTTTTTTATCTCTATCTGTGAGGGATAAACATATCTGATGAGCTGGCTGGTGAAAACCAGACACGTGGCAAAATTGATTTTTCCTCGTTGACTCTTGCAGAGCACTCGACTACAAGAAGTCGCTTCGAGTCAACACCATTGAGTAGGCTCGAACTGACACCATACATGCACTTCCATCGTCTGGGTCGTCCCACAGTGCGACATGGCTCTCTTTAGTTGGGCTCTTCAGATAATCGATTATTTACCGGACTTGATGGTAACTTGAATTGCACGATCGCTTAACACAAGACTAGAAGTGATGGGTTGGTGCCAAAAATTAACAAAGCCATCGATCGGCTTTGGTAACTGAGTCATTACGACAGTTCGAAAAAACGAAACGGCCATTCTGGATGGTCCAGACCAGAAGCCACCCTTCGCTTCTACTATATCTAATTAATGATGCCTATCCTCGCCTTTGTCGGGATTTGAACTAGTGTTTTCAGCCAGCGAGTCAATAGTGGACATTTTCAGGGAACGAGAAGTCACCATTAGTAGTCGGAACGCGAGACTAGCGCACTACAAACTTCTGACAAAGAACCAACAACTCGCAACACGAAATATGTTCTGTCTACTCTAACCTCAGTTCGCAACTAAATCTAAATTTAATCTAATCTAGCAAAATACACTCATCTGCAAACTAATTTGGTTTTGTGAGAAACTTACCTGGAATCCAGCTGAATCTTTCGTTTGTGATGTTTTCGGGCAACCGAATGTGCTGCACCAGGCCGCCTCACGTTTCAGCTGATACGATATTTGAGATATCGTGGTACATGTATAGTCGAAGGTTGCTGAAAATTCGTTGACAGCCCTGACCGGTTTCGCCCTTCTTGGAGCTCATCAGGGTCAAAAATAGGAGAGCGATGGCGGTTAAGAATGAGGTTGTTTCTGATGGAATGAAGATGTTCAGTAAGGACAGGACATTGGATTAATCGTCTGCGAAGATGTACTCATAAGCTACAGTTGTCCACTTTGGGGAACCAAAAATGTTCGCCTTTAGGGGAGAGGCAACATAATAACGAGGCTTTTGTACCTGATTGTGCATTGAAACTGGCCGCTAGTGTTTAAGTCTCTAAGTACATTCAAGCTTCAGACGTGGAAGCATACGTTTTTTATCTCTATCTGTGAGGGATAAACATATCTGATGAGCTGGCTGGTGAAAACCAGACACGTGGCAAAATTGATTTTTCCTCGTTGACTCTTGCAGAGCACTCGACTACAACAAGTCGCTTCGAGTCAACACCATTGAGTAGGCTCGAACTGACACCACACATGCACTTCCATCGTCTGGGTCGTCCCACAGTGCGACATGGCTCTCTTTAGTTGGGCTCTTCAGATAATCGATTATTTACCGGACTTGATGGTAACTTGAATTGCACGATCGCTTAACACAAGACTAGAAGTGATGGGTTGGTGCCAAAAATTAACAAAGCCATCGATCGGCTTTGGTAACTGAGTCATTACGACAGTTCGAAAAAACGAAACGGCCATTCTGGATGGTCCAGACCAGAAGCCACCCTTCGCTTCTACTATATCTAATTAATGATGCCTATCCTCGCCTTTGTCGGGATTTGAACTAGTGTTTTCAGCCAGCGAGTCAATAGTGGACATTTTCAGGGAACGAGAAGTCACCATTAGTAGTCGGAACGCGAGACTAGCGCACTACAAACTTCTGATAAAGAACCAACAACTCGCAACACGAAATATGTTCTGTCTACTCTAACCTCAGTTCGCAACTAAATCTAAATTTAATCTAATCTAGCAAAATACACTCATCTGCAAACTAATTTGGTTTTGTGAGAAACTTACCTGGAATCCAGCTGAATCTTTCGTTTGTGATGTTTTCGGGCAACCGAATGTGCTGCACCAGGCCGCCTCACGTTTCAGCTGATACGATATTTGAGATATCGTGGTACATGTATAGTCGAAGGTTGCTGAAAATTCGTTGACAGCCCTGACCGGTTTCGCCCTTCTTGGAGCTCATCAGGTAGGCGCAGTCTCCGAGTTGCCGTCAAATTTATGTTCTACTTGAAATCAAATTGCACGAAATTGGCGGAATACACTCATTTGCAAACTGATTTGGTTTTGCGAGGGATTCATCTGGAACGCAGCTGAATCTCTCGTTTGTGATGTTTCTAGGCAAATGAGGGTATTACGCTAGTTTCGTGCAATTTGGTTTCAAGTGGAACACGAGGCTGACCTGATGAGCCTCAAGAAGGGCGAAACCGGTCGGAGCTGCCAAAGAATTTTCAGCAACCTTATGAGTCGTGCATTGCGATTAATCTAATCTAACTCTAGATTTGTATTTGCCACCGAGTTCATGTCACTGCTAGGAAGTCATTGATTAGCGGGAACAGCCGTTCGATTCCCAAAATAGCGGTTGCCTATACACTGGTTCTGGCGAGTTTAGTGGTGATCGCTGGAAATCTGGTCAGCTGGGTTTAATCATCCTTAGCGGATGAAATGCTGCAGACTTTCTTAAGCATATTGTTCTCGCGATGAACCACCAAGTCCTCTAAAGTTTGGCGTTCATACAGTGGTTGGAATTCGCCAGTCGGGTTTCCATAGGACCTCAAAGTAGAATAATGGGGGTAGCACACAGCTCGCTTTGTTTAGGAGATGACTAATTGTTATCACCAGGCAGATTACGGTGAATGATAAAGTGAGGTGGACATGTCGTTCACATGACTTAAGCCAAACTGATCGACACACGCAACGAATCATAACCCAGACCAACACAAGGGCTCAGCGTCTTTTGTGTTTTCCCGACATTGAGCAAACCTAATCATGATGTAACTATAATTAAAACTGGCGGTTGGTCGATTTGCTGAAAACGGACGTAGTTGGCTAAAAACCGCACATGATGCTATATTGGTCACCTTACCAGAACAGATTGTCTAACTTCGTCGATGACCAGAAAATCTCCCGGGAAACGCTTATGTCGCGTCCATTTTTTAACGCGAAACTAGGATGGCATTTGCCACAAAGTCCGTACACAGGACCAACTAGCCCCAATTTCCGTTCACGAAAATCACAGACACAATTTTAATCTGAAAACTTGAAGATCGTGGAACACGAAGCACAAGACGATGGGGAATTCCTAGAAGCATGGGACTCCGCAAAGGATTCAATCAACCGGCGTATCCAAATCGACCTTGTCTAAGCACCGCCACTATCGAGAGACCACCAATTCAGTCAGCTACGGCCATCAGGCAAATTCACCACGAAAAGGGGTCTCAATGTGGATGCAGACAAACAAAGATTACGACCAGGTCAAGTCTCAAGGCTACCCGGACACCAACTAATCACAAGACAGGTCAAACAACAAGCCAACAGACCAATGATCGGCCAAGGTCGACCTGGGTGAGCAGACCCTAGTTCAAACCATACACACGCAAAAACACGCAGTTCCAGCTTCAACACACTTTAATTCACAACAAACTACTGATGCCACCTCGACTGCTGATGAAATGTTTGCAACCAAGCTGCCCAGCTCGGTGAACAAACAACCGGCCAACGACCATTACGAAAAAAAACGACGAATTGGAGTGTGAACCATCTCTTGCTGTGGACCTCATTGTGAGGTCACTTATACATACAAACAGATTCTGCTTACCGTACGAATCGTCAAAGTTATCTTGCTGAGCCCTGGGGAATGACCATTACCAACACACCTTCTGCCCTCTTGTGCAGACGTGCTCACTACGCAACTGCTTTTTTGTCTATGGGAGCTGGCTAGACCGTGATTGCAAACCTCGAATGGATGTGTACAAGGTGCCCTTGGTCCGTAACCACGAAGCGGGTTCGTACAGGACCCACAGGAGAAAAATTGGTCGATGGTGCCCTGGATGGCTAATCACTATTCACAGGGTGTATGGACTGAACCTGTCGCTAGCTTCCAATGGACTAACGACTCCATTAATCGCTCTGCTGAATCGCTAGTTAGGACATCAATCGAAGGCATCCGTAGGGTCCCCTGGGTCAGGCGTCTTCATCGGTCTGGCCAGTCAGAAAGTATGATAGTACAGCCGCAGTGCGACAATCCTCACTCTCCCGAACTCCGGTCGAGCTAACGTCTATCGAACCACATTTTGCTTTTATCGCCATCGAGGCATTTTCTGTACATACTATCATCAATCCCCATATTTCAGTCTCCCCTGCATGGCTTCATGATGATTACTTACGGTGTCATGAAGCTCAGACAGATGAGAGTGAGAAGTTCTGATGAGCCCTACGGAGGATCTTATCGTCAACACAGGTTGCCTCAAGGAAACCTGTCTGCACGATAAGAGCCTGAATTCCCCGTCAACCAGTCGAACAGCCTCTTACGTCATTCCGTTGATATGACTGCGTCATTAACGGGTCGGACTGGCGTTTTAATAGCTCTTAATCAATACACTTAATCCGCAAATTTGGACTGGATACGTAGCAACAGCGGACTGTACACAATGAGAAGGACAGGATCCTGAGTACACGTCCACTAACTACAGCTTTCAAGGAGTTAGGATGAATTTTGTGTCCCAGTTCACAATCCCTTCGAAGACCTACGAAAACGGTGTTGTTGTGGTGGCCGGACGCTTGATCTCGGAAGAATACCACATGAACGGTTAAGCTGGTACTCGAAAAGGAAGCGAAGATCGGTCCCTAAATTTGCGCAGGCAACTGATGATTGCCAGACGGTGTAAGCTGCAGACGTCGTTACCTGACGTGCACTGTCAGCTACTCGACAATGGATTTGAGTTAAATCCTATTGCTACAAGCTAATAATGGAGAATTTATGATCCCACTAGAACACCAGTTTGGAATCAGATAATACGGTACTCTGAGCGAAGCTGGCCATCCACTGTCTCGACAAGACGGCCAGAATCAATAATTGAGAGAACTAAATATACTGGAAACTTTTCAACCGAAGTAAGCGGTGGAACTGGGTGAAAAGTCGCTTGGTGGCATGGAACGACAGGATTGTTTGGAAAGCGTCGGAAGCAGCGTTTGTAGATGTATACGCCGCTAACTGACACCGCTGATCAAAGCTGAAAGCCTCCGTTTGCCCAAAATATAGTTATCTATTGCCGCCGATTCCACCCACAATACAACTAGTGGTCTAAATTGAGAAGAATACTTTAAACCATGAAGCTAGGTGCTCAGACACTTCAACATATTTTCCCGCATCAGTAGTAAAGCTGGGGAAGAAAGCAAAAATGTGCGTCGATGACAACAGTTTATTACGAATCCGTGATAAATCTGGGACGAAATATGGGCATAATGAACGACAGTAGACTAATTCTAAATAGGAGGTCTGTTTGGATCACCGATACTCACCATAACTGGGAGATGAGCAGGGGGAATCTGAGCTGCGTAAATATTTGTACTTCGCTGAATCGTCAGTCGTTGGAATACTGGCGTTGTGTAGCTGCCGGGATATGGTCTTTGGTTGTGTTCTGCTTGTATGTTGGCCCTCAGTGGAAGTAGGATTCATAGGTACCGGGTTGGGGACACAAAGACCGGCCCAATGAGACTGAGCACAAATCATATCCCAAGACACCGGAAGTCCATACTTCCCCAACAGAAGATCACGGACCTGATCAACTTGTTAAAGGAGGAAAAATGGGTAGGTGGCATGGATATGAAGATAACTGTGGTACCGAAATACAAAGATTGTGGTGATAAATTTGTTAGAAGGCTTGGACGAAGCGCGTAGAATGTTTTCCAACAGTCATATTGATGGCGTGCTACTTCGAAGGAAAGCAAAAGAGTAGCGTGGGTGCCAATCTCACCAGCCCTTCCTAAAACATCCAACAAATGAGTGCAGAGTTTTCGTAAGGCTGAGCCCATGCTACTCGACTCATTTTCAAATGGTCGATGGATGAATGGTACTAAACTGGAGTTCAGTAGACTCAGCAGGCGAGCTTAGGGATATCCAACACATGGCCTGTTGAGCTCGAGACAGCTCAGTGGCTAAGGCGCTAGCTAGCTTACCGACTGGAAGGTTTGTGGTTCAAACCCAGCCTGCGCATCTCGACCGCTCCTCTCTAAACTTGAGCAGCTTGACAGTATCTCAGATCTCGTGCTTCCTTCGAGCGTAGTTAGGCACTGAAAGGGTGTTATAGCTGAACGTAAAAATACATTCAAGAGCTCAGCGCGCCAAGCTCACCAGATAGACGGGTGGTCTCAGGATGTTCCGCCAAACACCGCTGAAAGGAGGTTTCTGTATCGTGTAGCCGAGGAAGAAAAGAGCGAACTTCCTGGTTGATCACAGATTCCATCTGAAAAAACAGAAACAGTTCGAAGTTTTTAGTCTGTATTGTGAGCTGGTGGGGAAAGAATGCGAACGAATAGAAGACCGCCCTGATGATATCAGACAAAATGAGAACATGGATACGAAGTAATGCTTTCTAGACGTAGCGGCCTGGATCATAAATGAAGCCAGGCAAGCGTGTTCCAAGAAAGTGATTCAATGTCCCAGGAATAGGCGCGAGTGGATAATTACCAACATCAACGCAACAAACCGAGATCACTCACAGCTTCAGGTGAAAGACTACTGGGCTGCCTCGCACTGGGACCTTGTAGAGTCGGGATGTTCGACATGGATGCCAGCCCGTTCCTGCGAGCTACTTCAGCAACCAGACTAGCCAAGAGAGCGACTGGAGCATCTTCGTGATCTAATCCCGTCAATATGGCTGCTCGCGTTGCGCGGTGAATGAGGTGACGAAGTTTGAGTGCAAGACCCTGTCGACCTGGGAGCAATCCGTCGCAGAGCGAATGTGCCAGGGCTCTGCTGTGATCGGCCAGCAGCCGGTAGGCAGTGTCCCGGTGCCAACGCTCGAGCAATTCTATGTGCTGCTTATCTTTAGATTCGGAAGCCGTTGGGTGTGTCGCTCGATCTGGGTGAGAATCCATGCACTGTTTTGTGGGGCAAGCTGGCTGTGAAGTGAAACAGAGAAGTATTGCAGAGAATAAACAGTTGGAACACGTAAAAGATTTGGAAAAACAGAGCACCTTATTCAAACTGATACTTTCAACGGAAATTGGATTGTTTATTTAGATGTTCAGCACTTGGAACAATTCAGTGGGGAGTAAAATCCACAAAATTCCACATAAAATCCACACATGAGGTGTCTTGGTAAGTGGACGACACGGAAAGTGCAAATACTACTCTGGTCCGTACGAAGTCAACCCTAGATGTTCTTGAACAAGTAAAACAGACGGCGACCTTCCAGCTTCCAGAGGACCACTCTGTCGATTGCGCTATCGAGGACGGTGCTCCAGGCCACATATACGCAGCCGAACTTCACCATAAATCTATCTAATGGACCAGTATCTATAAGTGAGCCGTTATTATAACCTACGTGGGAGAGATGGCTTAAGTGGTTAGAGTGCGAATTTACTGACCGGAGTGTCCGTGGTTCAAAGCCGACCTTTGCTTCTCGACTTCCCCTGTCTAGGCTTGGGTAACCTGGCAGTATCTCAGCCCTCGTGCTTCCATCGGGTAGCGTGGCAGCCAGACACCGAAAGTAGGTTACAGCTGAAGGATTATTTATTGATTATTTATTTAGTACAACTTACACAATGACGTCAGTCACCTAGATGACTCAAAATGGTGTACAAAAGAAAATCCGTCAGAGGTGTAATGTGAGTCCCAAATAAACGAGGTGTTGCCACCGACAATCAACAAAGTTGGCCTGCGTTGAAGTAACTTTCTAAGGTCAGCGTATTTTGATTACATTATGGATATCAGCAACTGGAAGCCGACATTAATCCTGAAAGCGCCGTTACAACCCTGAAGACATTTTGAACGGATCAGTGAAAGACTAATCAGAGGAGGGCATACACCGGAAGCCTCAAAAATTCGAACATTCATAGTAAAGAGCTTCATTGAATGCTGCCCCTGGCCTGTCTGGCGGTTCTGAAACAGAAGAATTACGGCTTTTAATCAATTGGATCGTCGAGGTCACTGAAACCGTAACCCGCGTTCCTATTGGTTGGTGGGAGGTTAGGAGTGGACAAGTGTCTGGACGACCGTGTTTGATTCCTCACGAGTGTCAACGAATCACCAAACAAGCCGAGTTGGCCGATAGAAATGTTCCTCCAGGGAACGTAAAGNCGGTTTTGCTCAGTCCAGACAAGCTGCAAGTAATGCAACCTATTGGCACCCTTCGGTCACCCACTATGAGAATCCCCGCATCGTGAGTGAAAGACACAAGGAAAGCAGATGGACTTTTCAAACACAGTGTGTAGCCAGTCAACTATGCAGAACTGAAATCAATAGCAAAGATGATGTAACGGTGACAGATTACATCTAGCGTGCTAGGTGGAGTAAGCTAAACCTGAACAGGTGCATTCGAACGTCTTGAGCACAAGGTTGAGCCCTACAACCTATCAAGGATCGCATTTTTTATCATAACTCCACTCCCAGTAGATGGAATTGGACTACTTTCAGCCAGAAAGTGACAGATCCCATTTGAAACCACCTCCAGACTGCATCAGAATATTCCTACTTATGCGAAGACCAAGAAGCGGGTAGCCTCACCAAAATCTTATTTTCAACCAATTCACCTAGAAAATCACTTAGCCTCAATTCTACTGAGTATATGAATGACTATTACCTATTTATTCCTGTTTCAGGGAAACTATCAATCCAGTTTTAAGGTAATGGACGTACTATCGTTATAGTGGTAACTTCTACGGCGTCTCAATTGGTTGGTAGGCTGGACGATAAACTGGTCAACTCAACATAATCCCGCTACTCATGGCAACGTTGGCTACTCCTCCATCTCGTGGTGTTAGACTGGCCAAACTGTAGTCCTAATCTCTACCCAATTGGGACCTGGAGGCGTGCACCAGGAAACAAAGTCCATGACCGCAGAAATGAGTTGTTTTATGTTCTGAAACAGGAATGAAGAGGTATCATATGCACTCGTTAAGGACGAGTTGGATACCGGCCTCCACCCTGACAGCCTGTGCAAATGCTGTCAGAAATATAAAAATGAGCAGGGCGGGAACATATAATCGAAACCACTCTGAACAAGACGGTATTATGGGGTGATCATATAATTTCTTTACGTCCAGTTTCCACTATTCGGATTTCACCCCAGCCGACCTGTGCAATTTCGAATGAGATCTGTAAATTACCGACCAACGTCTATTCAATTCCATTCACTGGTAGTAGAAGTCTGGTAGAGAACATGAATAAGTTTGAAATTGCTTGGTTCACATAAGCATATGAGCCGAGGATATGATAACACTGATGAGGGATTAGAGAAACGAAGAACAGTCTCGAAAAACCTATAGTTTACCTCAAGTAAATTAGTCAGAGCGAACCACTTTTGGTAGGCTACTTCCAGAGATGAGAACAACCCAAATTCCCATATTTGTCGGAAAGACTAACGCTTACTCTCCAGGCACGTTTTCGAATAAATACTTCACGGAGAAGCTTCGACAGGTTTTGCATAGTGGTTGACTGACTGCTGGTGGATTCGGTCTTCACAGGATCTCGAATCGGTTGGCGACAGAAGGGTAAAAACTCGCCCGTGTAACTGGGTGCTGTCCACGAGGAGGTCGAGGCCTTGGACTGAATAAAAGCCATCAACGGAGCAAACACGTCTGAATCGTACGTGGACGTAACACCCTTGTACGAAGAACAAAAGCAGAATGAACAGGTTACGTAATTTGAGGACTTGGAGGGATGTGGTTTGAAGTCAATAAAAACATACAACAACCGTACAACAATATCACTTTCGGGTAGGATAAGATATTTTATAGCTGAAAGGCATTGATGTAAGGGTTCAAACAAAGTGGACCAACAAAGTCCAAATGAACCGCAAGGAAAATTACGTGTGGTAGTGATATTCGTCGTTGCCAATATTATGGTATCATAATTGTCAGTAAGCTGTGATAAGGTGGAACCAAGATTACAGACAGTTGAAAGACAGGATGGCCCTGTTAGAGATTGAAGTGATTGACATAAAACTCACCTGCATCACACAAGCCAATCGTTCCAATCCCATCCCTGTATCTACAAACTGCTTGGATAGAGGTTCAAACGAATCCGGACCGATCGTGTCGCCATCCGTCACTCGAAGACGGTGCGTAATGAATACCGTGTTCCACAGCTCCACAACTTGCGGGCTTGATGAATTGATAAGGCAACGTGCACATCTCAGACCATCCTGGTCGCTTAGAGCATTGAAGTCAACATGTAGCTCCGTGGCTGGGCCACACAAGCCAGCTCCGCTGGATTGACCGGCACGCCAAAAGTTATGCTCCATTCCAAAAGGGAGTAGCTTTTGGTCCAACACTCTACATGAGGTATAAAAGGAGCGGTAAAGTTACTGGTTTTTGTGTGAACAAGAAGAAAATATACCAAGCGCTTGACACAACGGTCATGAGTATATGACCCCGTTTAATATGCAGACACAAGTACAATGGCCAGAGCTGAGTTGGGAAGCGCCACGTTAGGTCAACACCAATGCCACAACATGTAGTAAGAAGAACCTGGATCTAGTCCTAAACAAGTCGAAAAGGTAATCATTCTGTGCTCCTAGAATGAGAATATTAATGGTCAACTTGTACATATTCCACATGATGACATAATGCTGATAGACCGCGCCGTGGTATGATTGCTTCTATCTATCCCCAGGAGGTATTCTTGTGTCTGTCACGTGGCAGCAAAGACTGCCGCAACTGAAGGTGCTATTCCACCGTGAATGTACTTCAAAAGTATAGTATTGTGTTGAAATAAACGATGTGCGAAATGAATCCTGGTCAGAAAACAATGACTAAGCCTGGATCATTTAACTCACCCCAAATTCAACCAAATATCTCGAGTTTCGTCATCGGGTGGAAGACCCAGTCGCGGGCATCCGCCAAAATAGGTTACATATAAGGCATTCGGTGGGAGACCGAGTACTTTGGTCACGAAGGTCCACATGTAACGACATGCTTCTGCCTAAAACACATCCACAACAAAATACAAAAGAGAAGTGGAGTCATTGCTGGATTTGAGAGTACGCAGTGAGAGGCCAGTGGTTAAAAAAGTAAACGTGCGACACAAGGCAGAAGTGTCATTTTTCCGAAAACGTAAGTAGGCAGCCCCGCGCTATGCACAGTACTGTACCCATAGATAGTCTCTGCAGACGACTACACCTGGTGATCATTCAACAGCTCAGGCAGCCCGAGACAGACTGCCGCCCAACCCCGAGTAATTTCCCACACTTTTTGGTGTCATTAAGTATCTGTGGGACCGGGACGCACTATGTCTACAGTACGGTAACAAAATCACTATTAGGTAACCGAAACCCCGAGAATTACTGATCGACTGAACGACGAGTAGGCGGCCACAAGCAATCGTGTGTATGGAATGAAGACATTTGCCTATTCTGGATACCACCGATGAGGACGGTTATGAGTAAAGCAAGGAAGATTCAAAGCAAAATCGTAGGCCGATTAGGCACCCATGACTCACTTCAGTAGTGAGTGATTTCGAAAAGCACTTGAACACAGTATATCACAGATTAGATTAAGATAGCACTCAGCTGTAACACCCTTCTGGTGGCCAGCTGCCATGCTACCAGAAGGAAGAACGAGGGCTAGGATACTGTCGCGTTGCCAAAGCCTAGACAGGGTAAGTCGAGAGGCAGAGTTCAGGTTCGAACCACGGACCTTCTGGTCAGTAACTTCTCGCCCTAACCACTTGAGCCATATCGCTCCATATCACAGAAGTTAATGATAAACCATAACGACTTGGTCAATATGACATGAAAGCTGGTCGTAGAGACCGAATTCTCCTCATTACACTGACAAGAGCAACTTCACTACCGTACAAAAAAATCGTTCAGCTGTAGCACTCTTTCAGTGTCAGGCTGCCATTTCACCAGAAGAAAGCACGAGGGCTGGGATGCTGCCACTGAAATCAGTCGGCCGTCGCATATTTCAGGTGCATGCAGCCAGGCACAGGGAGGGTCACATGGTCGTCATGGCAAAAGGCGGTTGGCATCGACAGCAACAAGACTTATCGTGACATGCTTCAGTCAAGGTTCTTTCAGTCATAATAATGCAAACGAAACAACGCTCTCGTCGGTAGACGATAACTGGGCATAGGATCGAGCCTGTAGTGCTGACTCTGGTTAACATCAACTGACCGACTTCGAAGAACATTATAAAATGGTTTTCCATTTGAAACGAGCGTCAATAACAATACATTCTGATGAGAGCCCGTGCACTTTCCTGGCAATGCATTCCACCAGCTACTATCACCACAATGAATATGAGTAATTTGCGAGCAGCAAAGACATATGAGAGGAGGGATTACGGTGCATGGGTTAGATAACCAAGCCGGAAGAGATACAAGGATGATAAAGACGTTCTGAACGAATGGGTGAAGGAAAAAAGGAATATCAAAAAAGAAAGGCGGGACGGCCTAAATCGCTGGTGATTATACCCATTGGCCCCATAACCGCCTAGCAACATTAACATTTAGACAAATTCTCTGCGACTTGTGAACAGTAGTCACAAACCCATAGCGTTTAAAATCCAGAGGGAGCCGGACGGTGCATCCAGTTTTGCGCCCCTGGAAACGTCAATCTGATGAGTAAGGTTCGGAACGGGCGCTCTCTCAAAAAGGAGAACAGAACTGATCTGGTGCTAAGCGGAGTGCAACTGTGTGGACGTACCATGAACTGCACAATTACGAATGACCTCACTAGTTACCGACCGTCACGTTAAGCCATCAGTTGTGTCCTCTGTCTGCGATTTACAGAGGAATTAACTTCACCCCCATTGCAACTTATTATACGTCATCTCATGAAGACGCGTGAAGACGGCAACCAGGAACACAAACCCAGATTTCGGCCACAACGGTCCTGTGTGGACCAAATCTCCATAATCCGTCAACAGACACGGAACACGAACAGGCGGCCTACAATCTCGGTGTTCCACGACTTCAAGAGTTTGTTCGATTCTGTCAACCGGTTAGTTCTTCTTAACATACTTACGCAATCGGGTACGCCCAGGAGGTCGTCAGTACCACGGGCTGTTTTTATCCACACAATTGTGGGCTTGGAAGATTGTATGGAGAGCTCCCCAAAAGCTGTTCTGGCCCCGTTTATGGTCCGCACGAACTTTCAACATAAATGTTCGCATTGTGTAACCTGGCGGCCACCAACTGAAAATCAATCGCGGCCATCAGCCACCGATGGAGAACCACAATTCAAGACTAATGTTCCTTCTGAGGCAGACAACTTGACTGGGGTGAGATGGCTCACTGGTTAGAGCACGAATTTAATGACCGGAAGATCCGGGGTTCGAACACGAACTCCGCCTCTCGATTTTCCCTGTCTAGGCTTGGGCAATCTGGCAATATCCCAGCTCTCGTACTTCATTCTGGTGGCATGGCATTTAGGCACCGAAAGCGTGCTACAGCCATACTGTGAAAACGCTTGATAGTTCAATTTCCTTTAGGCCCCTGCAAGTCATCAAGTGGCATGCCAATCCGCCATTTTTGGAGAACTACCGTAGCTCAGCACTAGCGAGCTGAGCTGGTCCAACTATATTCTACAGTGAATCAAACGGGTACTGCTAACGAGAACATGGGCGAAGCATGGCAAGTTGGATGCTTGTAGTAGCTTCTCATCTGCCCATTCTTCTTTCCCTTATTTATAAGGCTTTATTCAAATGAGCTGGCGTGGATGTACACATATATCAGTGCTGTCACATACTACCTGAACATGTGGTAGTCAAACGATTCGCAAACTGTGCGGTCTCGTAACCTCTGTAACCCAGTTTAGGATAAAGTGAACGACGCGTAAAGCATCATCTTAGTTCCACATCTCGTCGAATGAGTAAATTTGAGTTCAACTTAGCAGATGTGGGACAAGGTTGTCTGACATTCATCGTCCAAGTAAGAGGAATTAAGAAGCTGATAAACGGACGCTGTAGTTGAAAATGCAGCTGTCACGTCGTCACCGGTACATTGAAAATGACAATGAGCGTTCCCACTCGAAGCATTATGTCCTCCTTACTGCATTTTTCAATTGCAATTTCAGGAGCGCTGTCAGTTCTTTAGGGAGCCCTCTACATATCAGCTCCATAGAATTTGATAAGGAGACTAATCCTGTAACAGAAAACGCATTCACAAATCGAGGCAGCATTTTCTTACTTTGTTGTGGATACCTCTTGCGGGGAAATTAGACGACTATATGGATTTCCATGGGAGCCTGGCAAGATCCCTCGAGAGCCCTATATTCATTGCTGGTGGGTGCCCTCTTACCAGGGTTTTGGGTCGAATCCCCAAAAGAAACGTCATCCTTATTAGGACACATTCGGATTAGTCACGGGATCATTTGGTTAACTGTTTCGATGGTCTTCTTCTAGCGTACACGCCTGCCGACCGGTATTAATCTCTATCCTTTTCGAAACCTTGAAGCTATCGAACAAAAAACTACCCTGGACGTTGGACTCAAAAATTAACCTGACGAACTAACCCCGTTTGATCGTCCGCATGCTCGTCAGCGCAGTTCAAGGTTCGGCGACCCGTCTGTGTATGTTGCGTTGTCGCTACCTACGACAAAAGATTATTTCCAACCGAAACATGTGAGCGATAGTTTTTTTCATGGAGAACGAAGACAGATTAGCTACCTTCAGAGGTTTACCAACTGCAGGTATTGTGTCAAACCATCAGGGGGTAGACCGCTTCATAAGTGCTACTATGCAATATTACTTCATAAAGTTTGTATATATGACGAGCGTGTTTCGAGTGGAAACAGAAACAGATCCGACAAGCAGAACATTTGTACAAGGCGGTTCGGATGAAACAAAGGTCGTGTTGTGTGATCCACGGGGCTTCTACAAACTGCGGGAATCAACTCGAAAGCATTGTTTGGAAGCAGCGAAAGCCGGCATGATACACTTTCACAATACAACCACCTTACTCCAGTAGGAGCGTTTCTTGCTTACATTGGTTCTGTTTCATTAAACACCTGAGGAACTCGCAAGTGATGCGGATAGTAAGCAGTCAAATCTGCCAGCCGGCCAGTTGTCTATATAAAGTGTCAACTGTAATGAAACAATAAATGACGCCTAATTATCCTTACTTAACTCTGTAAAACTGCAAAATGATCTTCGAATCATGGAAAATACTGCAGTGGCTTCAGGACGAAACCGCGGTCAATAGCCACAAAAACATTTGATATGCTTAGTTCGTGAACTTCCAATAAACGCAAAATCGCATAGAAGTTGACTTGCTTGAGGATCGTAGAAAAACAAGACGAATCTCTTTGGACACGACACGGCTCATAATGTTGATGATAACTATCAGAGAGCTCCTTACTGGATTTGAGTTTCTTTGAGTTCCTCAAGTGTGACTAGTCCCAAAGTTTCCATCAACCAGTTCTCCTACTTCAGCACCTAATTGTACAGAAGTGGAGTAATAACATCACCCGCAAACTAAGTTGGTATTGACAGCAGACCCAACTGAATATCAGCTCAATCTCTCAGCACTGCTACACTTAAAGATTACTGCACGCGGGATTCAGCTGATATCCGTTCGGATCTCCCATAACAGCAACAAATATCTGTTATATTCGCCGTAATCCAACTAGGGTAACAGCCTTTCAAACCAATCAAGGAAATTTATGGGGATGAGCGAATGAGTTATCTTCATCGCCAAGAATAAGGCTCACGGAATCGGCAACCAAAAACCCTCTGCCATCTTTCTGATTCGACATTCTTACATCCGTAGAGTTGAAATACTTTACTCTAACCTCCAACGACGAGAAAGGACCGAAATTGAGGGTTGCTAATTGACATCCCGCCAAAAAAGGAACAGTAACCGAGTAAACAAGTGACACAATTACCTTGTAATAATCTCCAAAGGACCAACTTCCAAGCATTTCAAACATGGTATGATGTTGTCGATCGTAGCCCACGTCATTCAAATCATCATGGCGACCACCGACACGAATACAGGGTTGGCAGTTCGTTGCTCTGCGTAGGCGGCTAAACTGCATTGATGTGCTGGAGTCTGTCTGACCCAAGAAAAGCGGCTTGAACTGATTCATTCCTAAGTTCGGCAGTTGAAACCAATGACAAGCCATTATTGTATTGTAAAGCTCATTGTTCGGTTAAATTGAGAGCAGTGGAAAAGACGAACGTGACTGATGCCAGTTAATCATAGATTAGTACCGAATGTTCTGATTTATCTAACTAGGGGGAGATTCTATGGTGCACATATCTACCATCCTACAGCCAAGTATGAAGGGGGTACAGTCTGACAAGTTCCCATTGTAGGCTGCTTGGTTCAAGAAGTAAGGGGTCAGTTCAGCTATGCCAAAACATGCACATGCGCTATACACCACTGGTATGTACATAGAAGCGGATGACACATTTCTACAAGAATTCGAACTCATTCTGGCTTCATCTAGCTACTGAAATGAAGTCATTTTTCGAGATTGTCACGCCCGTAATTTGAAACTGAGGGTCTAGGAACATACCATAGTACATCCACCATACAGTGAGATGGGTCATCCCAACCCAGGTTACTGTGTGTTTTCACATTGCGCCGCCTGATTGTACATTTCCACTAAAGGCGGTGTCAAAGCTAGATTCCAAACCGATACGGTATAAAACACAATTCTACCGCTTACAATATCAAGCCTAGAAGTTGTATTACTCCAAGCGAATTTACTGACCGGAGGGTCCGTGGTTCGAACCCGACCTCTGCCTCTCGACTTCCTCTGTTTAGGCTTGGGTAACGTGGCAGTATCCCAGCCCTCGTGCTTCCTTCGGATAGCACGGCAGCTAGGCACCGAAAAGGTGTTACAGCTGAAAGATTATTATTATTATCCCGTAAGTGAGTAGTTGAAATAACACTGAAATGAGCCGATCAGGACCGAATCATTAGCAGTAAGTCGATGGGCAAGAATGCCTCGGCGGACAAATACACACGAGATAGCCTGGCGACATAAAATTTGGAAGTAAAACGTTCAAGATGATGGACATTTGATTCGGGCATTCAAGCTCTACGAATCTCACGCAACAGTGGGACTAGCTGAAACATGTAGGCATTCGGGCTCAGCTCGTACGACTTGTCTGGAAACCAGCGAATATGGCTTTCATAGTCGCCAACACATAGGGACATATTTTGCCCGGTACTACATAAGTCAAGTCGTGCTACGATATAACTAAAAATGGAGATCAGTTGGGTAGCAAGATGCGAAATCTCACAACTTGGTTTGGATGAATGTACATTCAGGCCCCGTAAATTCAAAATGCAAGCGACCTAAAGCAACGAGGCCACAAATAACCTACGGTGAATTGGTAAATTAAGCTGGACGACAATAAATATGCTGAAGTCCTCGCTCGAAAGTTCTACGCATCTTCATGTGCACAAAGAAAGTGGCAACCTTACACACCTTTTCGGTACATAGTATTCCATGTTGACAGTAAGATTGAGGGGGCTTTAATGGTTTGCACTGAAACCCAACGGTTCAACTAGATTGATCAAGTGTGTAGTTGTTGGTAGGGAGTTCATACCAATTTCCCCTGTAGATGACTGAATAGTAATTTGGAATTCGGACTGAACAAACAGCTTTGAAGCCACACGTTGAATACAAACTCTCGTCCCTCAATTTGGTGGAACCTCCTCCAAGCAAGAGAACGTGAATAAAAGCCACCTGATTGCCCTGATGTCCCTGGAAGCGTGGCATCACACGAGTTAAATAGGAAACCAACACCCGACAAGCCACGGTTTACCCAACGCCACGGTAATAGATGTAGCGAGTTACAAGGGTGGGGTCACGAACCACTAAGTTGCGAACACGGATTCACAGAAACCTTTGTCCGTTGTGCAATGGTTTCACAAGGGACCACCACAGAGAAAGGGAATGTCCGGGGGCCACTGTCCAAGGGGGTGTAGCTCCCTTCAGAGGAGATTACCATACATCATTATGGATTCCTTTACTTATTTCGTCTATGAGATACAGATAGAACCAAACAGGTGGGAGGAATGGAGCGACCACCAGGTCTCTAAATCGAACAAACGTTGACAGGAATGCAGCAGCTGACCACAACTCAGGAATAAAATAAAAATAGCAAATGTCGCTCACCAGCATTAACGAAATAACTGCCTTCATCCAGTTTCGGAAACACAGTGGCCGGGGCAACGATAGTATGCCGGTTACTGTGGAAGAAATGGAGAAACTCTTGACGGAGTTCGTCGACGCTGGCATTGGCCAATCGTATCGTCGATGCAAGAGGAAACCGGGCTGGAACATTATCCTCGTCCATTTCTGCACTACACTGGCCGACCAACTGCAAGTCAGGGCCACTTGATGGTACGGTGGCCAACGGCCGCTGAGCGTGACAAAACGAAATGACGAAATAAAAACCATGTAACACTAGTCAAACTGTTCGACAGACGATAAAAGTACGGACACAGCAGAATCCGACCTTCTAAGCTGGGGAAGAAGTCAGATCGGAAATCCAAATATCACCCTGAGGAGAAGCGAGATGGAACAAAACCTCGAATTCCACAAACAATAAAAGAAAAAAGAGTTATTCATCAGTACGTACACTTTGAAAGGACCACATCGGCCTAAAACAGCTAACCGGTTAAGTTGTGAAGCTGATGAACAGAAAGCCTGCGGTTCGGAAGCAAGACTTGGGCAACCTGGCATTATCTGTCGTCGCATTTCCTTTGAGCTGCACGTTAGACGCACATCGTAAGGCTACAAATGCTGAACGACCGTGCGAGCAATGTACTACAACCATTGTATGACAAGTACGCGGTTCTTACAGCCGACAAGATGGTGTGATGATGACGCGAAGAACGGAACGCAGACACACTGGAACCACAAGTTGTCGCATATTTTTGGTCTGATTGCTGCTAAACACAAAAACGGTAATAGTCTTGACAATACATACGGAAACACATGGAGGTCAGCATTAGCACACATACCCTGTGGATCGAAAATAACACTGTAAGCAATTGGGATTCGGCTTTTGTAAACCGTTTCAGTTTGTCGTACTGCAAATTGACAGGCTATGTAGAAGATCCTGCGACAAGAAAGAAGCGTTGTATTCCAAAACGTCTGTATCCAGGGCTGACGTCTATCTATCTGCTACAAGAAACTTTTGAGTGGACGAGATAAGGTACAAAGACAGGGAACGATGGCCGAAAATTCCCCGTAAATCGGCCACGACATTGGTCCGTAAATGAAGAGGATCACAAAGCCCAAGAGGGAGATTTCGGCCCAAAATTCCTCCAAGATGCAGATTTAGTCCGCTCAACATACTGCGTGGAGCACTAGATAGTCAGTTTGACGATGTTGCAACGAATCCTCTTACCTTACGGATAAATCTCCTACTTCCACTACGCTTCCATATCGGGATAGTAATAAACTTTGTTCACGCAGGCTTTACAATCGGACGTTCCTGTTAAAGTTGACATCTCCTACCGAGGTAAATTCAATATACAAAACCCAGGACAATTACTATTACCAGAATGAAAGGGGTGATTTAATTCGGAAGAATGTTGGAAGGGGTGCACAGTGCAGGGTTAGTTATTTTGTTCTGCTCATAAGAGAGGTCACCATAAGAATTATTTGGAATTCGGAACCGGAAAATTCTTGATAGTCAGAAATTTTCCCATGAGAAGCTTAACTTCGCCTTGTAGCCAAGCAGTGGCAAAAAGTTCGGTTAGACTACATCCTGATGTCACTGATACACAGTTTGAATAGTTTTCTTCGAAAATACTGCTCTATGTGGAACAAAATCATCAGAGATCCATGTAAGCTGCTTTTTGACGACTGAAACTGTAAGATAAGTTGGACCTATGGGGCGGAAAGTCACTGATGAAGCAGACCACCAATAAGTTTCGCAACCAGTTGACTTACACATCTCGGAACCGATGACGGCAGGCGGTTCAATCTGAAGTTACGAAGGCAAGGAAACATGCTGCTTCATGTGTGCCGAAAAAGTTGGTGGGCTTAGTGTAAGTAATTGTCAGTAAGTAATTATCCCGAAATCAATGGGTCAGCTGCAAGGAGAAACGAAATACAGTGGAAGGGGTTACATCGAACAACTAGGACACTTTGTAAATCACTTGTACAGTTAGCAGGACCCAAGCAGTTGGTTAGTTTATCTGCATCCATGAAACTCTGAATGAAACAATGGCAGAACAATGGACTCATTTGACCACAGTCCGGTTGGTCAAGCCTCAAACGATAACAGTCCTGGCTGGAATATTATCTTTCACAGCCATACACTACGTTGGGGTTTCCACTAGGTATTTCTTGGAAGGAAAAGCCTGACAGACCACAGAACGCCAACCTAAGCAGCCAGCATGTGCCAAACACAAGGTCGACAGATCAAAGGAGCTACAATAAGAGTGGGGGAAACTTTCAAGACTTCTCCTGTCCAGGCTTAGGCAACCTGACAGTATCCCAGTCCTCGAGCTGCCCTCTGGTGGCATGGCAGCCAGGCACCGGAAGGGTGCTACAACTGATGGATTCTGGAGTAGCGGTTCTGAGGTTCTCCCAGGACGCATCCACAAACCAGCTATACAAGAGCACCCAGTGAGTAACTCCTGTTCATTGCCTCCTCGTAGCGGTATATCTACTAAATCGAAGGGCTACAGTGGAAGTCGGGAACAAAAACTAGGTCGGCAAACGGTTGCTTTTCCGCCCAGCAGAGTTGCATCAATCCAGAATTCAAGCCACCACCAAGTGCAGTTCGCTGGCGAATGTGGGCACCCTGGTTGACTGATTTAATTCAAAGGGATTCCAGGCGCCACCTATCAATAGACCACGAGTTCCAGAAGCAGTTTCGCTCGGTTGCGGGTAAGGGTTCATCTTCGACCCGGGCAGTCTGGAATTATCATAGGTATCGCCAAATTTTTTGAGCTGGGTGACAACACTGGCTTCTTAGGGTAATTAGGCGATCCGATATTTTGGGGAACAGTCGGCTTTGAACTCAAGAGAGGTTTCGACAAGGCTATACGCTGTGCGCCGGAAAACCATTTCAAAGCTGCTAATTCAGCTAATTGCTTGGCTGTATCAACAAACAACCGAATAAAGCGAAATCAATGCTGCTGTGGTTGTCCAGCAGCTAACTGGCATTAGAACAGCCCACAGCTGACGTGGTGACGCTGCCCCTATATAATGGATACCAAGTAGGCCAGGATGCCCCGTAAATGTATGGGCATACTGGGGGTCAACCGCTTCTCGTAATGTGTTACGTAACAATCTAATACAGCCGCGAAGGTGCTAGCATAGAGTTCTGTGGCCACCTGCACGAAGTTTGACGACAACAAGGAAATTATGTCGTGGTATCTGAACCAGACTCGAAGGTAACAGTGACTCACTCAGGGGGGCTTCGTGCGTCGACACGGCCCGACCCGCACTCAAAACGATAAAAGAGACAGCTTCCTCAGTGGAGGCATAGCCAGTAAGTAAAGTAAATACCAAACTACTACTGGGCGTCCTTTGACAATTAGCTAACACTAGACTTGAAGTGACCACCTTTTTATCAGCTGAGGATGTCCACGAAGCCGTCAGATCAAGAAACATAGTGGAGCTGCGTATACACAACGTGCGCATACGAACGTTGGCAGTCCATTACGGTCAACCCAGCGGTCGCCGTCATCACCGGCAGCACGATAACAGGTCCTAGAAGAGTGAGGGAGCAGACCGACCAACGAACCAGATGAGACACTGATTGCGAATCAAGATCAACAGACCACTTCTAACCCAAATTCACCAATATGCTACCACTACCATTACTACATTATCGTTTACTTTTGATCATGTTCACAAAATTAAAAAGTGGAAGCGAGCGCCATGTGGAAGGATGTACCGGTGAACATTAGGAAAGAGGAAAAAGTTAGATTCGAAGGTGTGCTATCAACAGTTTCAAGTGAGACGAAATGACTTCCAACGTATAAGAATGTTTGGTATGGAAACAAACGTGTAAAGACCAGCAGCTGAAGAAAAAAATAATACTCAACGCTCTTCACAGCGAAGTAAGTACTAGCACAGCTGAAACTCACAAATCAGGTACAAGGTGTCCCTTATACAGGGGGCGAGACGGCCCAAGTGGTTAGAGCGCGAATTTACTGACCGGAAGGTCCGTGGTTCGAATCCGACCTCCGCCACTCGACTTCCGCTGTCTAGGCTTGGGCAATCTGGCAGTATCCCAGCCCTCGTGCTTCCTTCGGGTGGCATGGCAGCTAGGCACCGG